ATCCCAAATATTTTGCCAGTTTTTAACAACAGCCAGTTGTAGTTGAGTTGTAATTATTCTTAAAATATATATTCATTATTTGAAATTTCAGGTAGGATACTAAGATAAGGTCGACGTGTGCTGCAAATCAAGCAAATGCATATTCTAGAAACACTTCCAGCACTCAATGTAAAATTTTATGGTAGAGTTCTAAACGTCAACTGACAACTGGCAACAGGTGTAAATGATGGTCGGCATTTAAATGTAGTGGTCGTTACACGGTCAACGGCGTCGTTATCTCTATTTTAGCTAAAGGAGTGTGCGTTCAGCGATCTGAAAGAGATTCTGAAAACTGGTTGCCTTAGTTAAATGTACTCGTAATTTGCATGGAGAAGAAAAAAATGATAATAAAAAACTAACTAAAAACTGAGGCTGAAATCCGCAGGCGTTGTAAACACTTGACACATTTCCCGGGGCTTCAGGCTGCATGGGGAAAAGACATTTTGGATTGACGACTAAATGCCGCAGTTTCCAATAGATGACCCAATTAGCAGAGAATGCTGCTGTTGCTGCTGCTGCTGCTGCTGCTGCTGCCTGCTTAAAGAAAAGGGCAACAGCTGAGAACATCAATCATCATTGCATTATGAGACACCCGTCTTAGCCAGCACACAAAAACACACATAAAAGCACACACATATATACATGTATATATATATATATGTGGGTCAATTAGAAATGACTTGGCAAGTTTTTTTTTTTGGTTTGAGTAAAAGTTAAACTGCATTTCAAAGGTTTTTCAGCGCTCTGATGAACCCACATTGAAGAAATCCACGTAGCGGTAGCCAGCAAGTGACAATCGATTAGGGTCAGTTGCTTTTCCAAATGTAATGCAGTCTGCAGTGCAATGGGAATGGGCCGGACGCGAAAGTTGCCCAAGATTGGCTCTGGCTTGGAGACAGTGGCGCCGCCACCAGCCACTCCGAGTGCCATCAAGCGTGGCGGATCACGCTTGGGCGGATCCAGTGGATCAACAAGGAGCATTCAAGGGGCGCAACGGCGGCGATTTGCATGACCGGATCAGTGGATCAGCAATCACTGGATGCGTGAGCAGCAGAAACTCCCAACACGAAATAAATGCTGGCAAAAGAAATAGTACAAAACTGGAGCGCACCACTGCTCTCCCATTGCAGTCATCTACAAGTACATTCAGTGGTAGTCAACGCAAAACATTTATTTTGTTATTTTATTTTTTATTTTTTATTTGTATTTTTTTGCTGGCACAGTAAACCAATTGATCAGTTGACCATGCAATTTGCATATTGTAATGATAGCTGGCCAACAACAACAAATTGCTGCTGATCTCAGAGATAGAGGTTTGTTAGCCCAGGTTGGTGTGCGGATTGCAAGCTTTTGGCAAGATCGGATCGGGTAACATAATAAGATTACCCAAAGAGGTAGTCAATTAGAATCAGTAGAAGAGCTGAAAATCGAAAGGATTTGGAATGCTGCAATTGGGCAATTGTATAAATTTAATATCATATAAATATAAATACACATATTACAATAATTATTGTAGTTCTTTAAACAAAAATCATTTGTTGTCAATTTACCTTAGGAATAGTAAAAATATTTAAATAAATTGTACATACATTTCTCACTATGCATGAATTGTCGAATATTTTTACTTGAAGTCACAGCAAACTAAATTATTATTTTCATTACTAAAAGCATTAAGAATGCTTAGTGAAATTCATAATCTATTTATTTTAAGCATAATAATTTAAAAAAATGAATAAACAATTATTTTCTAAATTCGGTGCAGCATTTTAACATTTCAGAGAACTTACAGTGTTTACCCAAACTAATCGAATAACAACAGTTTCATTGCACTCCGTTTGAAATATTTTTCTAAAGAAGTCAATAAATTGTCAAGTGACTTTCGAAAGCATGATAAACTTGAAATATTAAGCGTTCCCTACGAGCTACTTCCTCAATCAGTGAATTATAAATGGCTGTCAGAAGCGCATTTGTGACTAACTTCCTATATGTGTGCACGTTTATGTGGTTAAGGCCAGGTAAAGACCATAGAATGCAGTTGGTCAGTTAGCCAACTTACTTGTTGCTGCTGCTGATCGTGCTCGTAAGTTGAGTATGCCACGTTGGCAAGTGGCCAGGTTGTGCGATCTATTAGAAGATATGCTAAAAGCCCAACGAACACTTGTCTTAGCCTTAGTCTATGTCCTCTCCATCTCTCCCTCTCTCTCTCTCTCTCTCTCTCTCTCTCTCTCTCTCTCCTCCCCTGCCTCTTCTATCTCAGTTTTTAAATGGCAAACACTCGGCTTAATGACACTCGTCTCCAGCTGCTTCTCGGTGTTAATTTGCGGTCATTAGCCAAGTTTTTAAACTCAGTTCGCTTGCAGTTGAGGCTGGAAGGAAGCTGGACGCAACTGGCGGTAACTGGAGGTTGCTGGGGACACTTCAGACTCAATCAATTTGCGTCTGTTATGCGACACATGCATTTTTCTTCGCTTTCCAAGAGCCTTTCCACAAAGCCTTCGCGGACTGCGTGCTGCTTTCTTGCCGCACAATAGGCTTTTGTTAACGGTTAAATTACACTTGACGCTGCCTTTTGGGCTAATGATGCGTACACAACAAGCCCAAGCAGCTCATACGGCACAGAGGTGTTGACTAAAAATGCTAATTCATTTGCACTTTGGCTCGCGACAAGTTGATTTATTTGTGCGGAAACATTAACGATGAGGGCATTACAATAAGTAATGAAAGAGATCCGCGCATACAAAAAAGTGAATGTGAACAATGCCCAAAATATGGGTCACCGATTTGTCGGATCTGCCCGCCTGGGCTACAATGCAGGTGCACACTTATCGAGCTATAGATGCATTAACTTTATGGGCTACATAATACACTACAAGAATGAACTGTATAAAAAAAAAAACAAGAATTGAAATCTAAAATTAAGATCCACAAAGCTAATTACAAACGCGAAACTACATTTGAAAACCAGGGCCATCATTTCAACAGCACAAGATTGATGTCCAATATTTCTCAACATTTTTAGAAGAAGAAGTATGCAATTTTGAGAAATCTGTGACAAATGAAAATAAGTCAACTAACTTCGGTTAAAAGCCGGACTCATAATTTCTAAAACACTCGATGGTTTCAAATACTTTTCTGTATTTTTATAATAATTTTAAATGAAAATATGGATATCTATTTTTTATTTTTTTTTGGTTTGACAGTAAAGTGAATGCTTTTCTACTTTTATTATTATATGCATTCCGTAAAAAAAAATGTTCTCATAAAGACAAACAATATTTCTAGTTATGTGGAAGATTTTAAAGTTGTTTGCCTATCTTATTTCTAGGGCAAACAATTTCTTTGCGTGTAGGAACCAGTCACGCCCATTTGGTGGCGACCATTGCTAACCCAGTTTTCCAAATGCCAAGTTTGGTAAAGAGGCGTGCAAATCGAACAAACACCTGTTGAGCTGGCCAACAAATTTCACTTATTGCCAATTTGCTGCCAATGAAATAAAATACTTTGTATGCGCACTTTGCCGATATAAACAACCTCAACCTGATCCGAGGACCGAGCGCCGGACTACAGCCAAAAAGAAGACTCTGAGCGGCAGTAGTGGAAGCAGTGGAAACTGCGGCAGGCAGTCCGGCAATGCAATAAATAAATTGCAAAATTTATTTGCCAGCACTTATGCGTCGCTTTTTTCATCGAATGCATTTTCTACAGTGATTTATTTGCATGACCATTGGATGCCACTTGGTAAGGGGTAGCCAAAACGGGAGGCAGGTGAACGGGCATGCCTCCAAAAAGATAGCTATACAAAATATTATTCTAGATATTCTATACACAATGTTGCTAGAGATGACCAAATGCGGACTAGCTAAGAGTAATTAGAGGCCTACAAAAAAAATTAATAATAAATGTTATATTCTTAAATTAAACAATTCAATTTAATTTAATTAAGTTTTATTTTCCTAAAAGAAAATATTTATACATTTATTTTTAGATCGATAGAAGTAGCTTAACGATTCGTGACCTTGGCCACTTGTGGTTTTTGGCCATCGCTGGCAGTTGGCAACAACATTGTAATATTGTAGCCTGCTTCCAGCTGCTTTTCCAAGAATCTGTCTATTTGACTGCATAGCGTCGGCCTTTCGGGCATTCTCAATTGATTATAGAATTTATCAAACAGGAAGCATCTTTTAAGACGCAGCAGACGCAGAACTCGTTGGCCACTCGCAGCTGAAGTTTAAGTTTAAGTTTAAATTTCATTTGCAGTTGGCGTTGCGCGCGCTCCTCTGCGACTGCATTTAACGGCACTTAGTGGATCAGTTCAAGAAACGCTTGCAGACGTTGGCCAATATGTTGTTTTAGTTGCTGGCCAAATAGGCAAAGTGTTTGTCACACCTCAGAAATGTGAGATTTGTTGATGATTATTTGATATTTTGTTGCCAACTGCCGGAACAGACTTAATTTACCAACTACAGTTTTTGTATTTAACCGCTCTTTAAATTCATATTTCAACTGTACTTTATATGATTTTTTATTGATTGATAGTGTCACTCAAATGAACTGCACTAACCTTTCAATCATGTCTAACAACATGCGTAGTATGTAAGCAAATCAAATAAATATAAAAATAATAATAAATAAATATATGCTATATATAATAAGTGCATTTCAATTTTGGCATCTTTTGATTCACATTGGTGGCGCGTCCTTACTAAATTGCCTTTGCTGGTTTGTGTCTATATTTGAGCTTTCAGAAGCCGTCCGCTGCCAACTTCAAGCGGATTCAAAATGAGCAAGCCATGAAGGTGGCGACAATTTTAAATAAATTGATATGATAAGAAATCGATTAAGAATCATCAATAAGTATTAACTGTATTTATAGTCTAATCATCTGGGTAGACTTTGTTTTACAAATCTGTGGTTACTTTAGTAGACCTATAAGCACCCAAATTTTATGTTTAACTTTTCATACATAAATTATTTTAAGAAATGAAATCTCCCATTTTGGCACAGTGTGTCCTTCAACGTGGACTTTCCTTGTCCAGTATCCATTGCGGCTCCTCAGCAGCCATGATTGTGCCTGCCAGTGGCCTTTATAAGCATGAAGAGCCAGCAAGTCAACTTTCCTCATCTAGAAAGATTAATCGAAGCGACAATTCAAGAACATATTGTTTCGACAGGGTTCACGAAACTCGACTAGAAGTAAGTCTAAAGTCAGTGTTAAACTTATTTCTTCTTGGAAAATTTAGGGTTGCGTGGGAATATGGGAATACGACTTTTTTTAATTCAATCTTTAAACCAATCTTAAAAAGATTGAGTGGAACGAAAAGTCTTTGCCCCAAACAGAGAAGCAGACGAAAAAGTAAGTCTTCTAGAAGTGAATTTGCAATCGCTGGCAAGAACATAATTTTTGTTGGTGGTCTGGGCTGTATTGGAATGCACACCTGTCGCGAGATTGTCAAGAAAGGGCCGAAGGTGGGTTATCATGCTGGGAAAACTGAATAAATAACTCAAACCATATCACTTAGAACCTGTTGATCCTTGATAAAATCGAGAAATCGGAAACAATTAAGAATTTGCAAGAACTGAACCCGGAGACGACGACAGTAACTTATTATCCTTATGATGTAACAGTATCCTTGGTCGAAAGCAAAAAGATGCTCACAACAATCTTCGAGAAGTTCAAGAAAATAGATTTGCTTATCAATGGCGCTAGCATCCTGGACGATCATCAGGTTGAGGAAACAATTGCTGTGAATTTCACGGGTATGATGAACACCATTAGCGCTCTTATGGATTTCTGGGATAAGCAAAAAGGCTGCTCTGGTGGAGCTATAGCCAACATCTGCTCAGTGGCTGCCTTCAATCCGATCTACCAGTTGCCAGTTTACTCTGCCTCAATGGCTGCCGTGTTTAGCTTTACCAATTCCTTGGCGGTAAGCGGTAATTTAAGCCCAGCTCAGATCTAATAAGTATGAAGGCTCTTTGAATTTAAAATAGAAACTGGCGCCAATTACTGGTGTAACAGCATACTCAATTAATCTGGGCATTATGAGAGCATCACTGGTGGGACAATACAACTCCTGGATGGATGTGGAGCCATGTGTCGTCCACTTGCTTCTCCAACATCCCACACAGACACCAACAAATGCCGCCAGGAATTTTGTCAAGGCCATTGAAGCCAATAAGAATGGCGCCATTTGGAAACTGGATTTAGCCGATCTGGAAGAAGTCAAATGGACTGGATTTAAGCATTGGGATCCACGCATTTAAAGTGCCTCGTAGCTTTTTAATTATCTATCAAATTGATTTGATAAGTTAATTACTAATATTCCAATTAGATTTGATTTTGCGTATGTAAAAAGCAACTTAAATTTGTTTTTAAATGTCCGCTGGGGTGTTGGAAAGGTAGATCGACCGCTTGCTCAGCTTCAAATATTTCAAGATTATTATTAAGTGATTTCAATTTCATTGGAATATATATACATATATTAAAAAGAAATACCATTTATTGATAAGGGTATATAAATATCATTATTATTCGATTTTAAATGTTTAGCATTTTGATGTAATTTGGTATTTCATCATTAGGCACTAACGGTCACACTGTTGTTATTGTTCTGTGGATCAGGTGCTAAGCACTTGAAAATTTATCTCTCGTGAATGATAATGGAAATCGATGACCTCAATGACGACTGCCTGTGCATTATATTCGAGTATCTGCCACTGCCCGATCAAATTGCTATGGCACGCAACTCGCTGCGCTACGAGCAGCTACTCTCCCAAATTGTCTGGCGAAAGCCGCAATTCCGCGAAGTTTCCGTTGCGAATGAGATGCTGTCTCCGCTGAGCAAAGAGGATTACATGTACTTCTTTGAGCTGACGAGCGCCCACATGGAGAAGCTGTACATATGGAAGGTGCACGAGAAGGCCTTCGATTCGTATCTGGGGCGGCATCTGCTGCGACCAGAGTTGGCCTTCTATCTGCGCCTGGAGCTCACAAATTTGCGCGAGCTGTGCGTCACCGACGGTTATCTGAACAACAGCATGATCAAGACAATAACCAAAAGCTGTCCGCATCTGCGCAGTTTGAGTGTCTCGAGTGCCTATATAACCGGCAAGTTTATGGTCGGTCTGCATAACCTCAAGACTCTTGTGGCGCGTGAGTGCTCAATTGAGGCTGAATACTTGTCGGAGCTGCTGGGGCAGCTGCAGCTGACCACACTGGATGTGACCGCCAACAAACACAATGTGGAGGAGACGATACTGCAAGCGCCCGCCGCTGGCCTGATGCGATTGGAGCGCCTGGGCATCTCGGATGCACAGGATTGCGGCTTTCGCATCGCCGAGCAACTGCCGGAGGTGAAAGAACTGGTGGTTAGCTACATTGGCGTTAAGGCGGAGGACCTCAGCGATATGTTGGAGGCGACGCGAAAATTGGTGGAGTCGTCGAATGCAAAATTTCCAAAGCGCCTGCAAACAATTTTGTGCAATGTGGTCGACGTGGAGGTTGCTCTGGAGCAGATAACGGGCCTGGAGACGCGTAGTCCACGCGAATCGCCCAAATTCTGTGAGCTCTTGAAGATTATCTACAAATGTAAATAGTACTATTATTATATATATAGAAGGATCGCCTCGCAAGAGGTATTCTCCTTTGGGTACGCAAGGTACATACATATGTATATAATTTATGATCAGCACTTAAATCGAACTCAATGCAGTCATGTCTGCCTATACATCTACCCTAACTATTCTGATCTGGTATTTGATTGCCAAAAACTATACATATGAAAAGACAAAACAATTTGCTTTTTTTTTTTTTAGAAGACATTTCCATAATGTTTTCATGGATATACTTATATATCTCAACGAAGTTAACCTTCGGCATGCTGAAAATTTGTTTTCTTTAATTTTCCTGTAAATACACGAGTTCTCTACAAGAGGGTTAACAACTTTATTTGAACACTTCTACAATTTTATTTATTATTAGGTAATTATTAGTATAATTTAGATTGTCCGGCCGAAAGTACAAAAGTGAATTAAATAAATATAATTTAGTTTGTTTGGCCGTAAGTTCAAAAATAAATTCATTACTCAATATCTTTTTTTGTTTTAGTTGTGTTATTTACGTAATGTTAACAGATTAGAACGTTGCAGTCGAAAGCTACCGACTTGGCGATACTCTGCTCTACTTGAAGGCCACTTGATTGGATGTTAGGAGTTTGCGTGGTTAAATTTCAATTATTGGATTATTATTTCAGTCGTTATTTACTTACAAATATATATATATATATATATACGCAACCTGTCTGACCGTTTATATTTATGTTTCAGAGCAAAGCAGTAATAGTATTAGTAACAAGATTTGAGCCTCTGGCTCTAATCCACAAGCGAAATGAGCACATATCCTTATGGGCGTATGTAAGAGTATGCTTGGACAGACGGACGGACGCGGCAATATACATTCTTTCGCTTTGGTAACAGAGTATATGCACGCAACTTGATGATGATGTAAGAGAAAGTAATAGAAAATTTCAAAGTTGTACAATGAGCGGATTTAAATACGCGAACAGTACCCCAGAGAAAATGCCGGTAACTAGGAAAGCAGCGGCAAACATGCCGGCGGTTATCTGATATTTGCCACTGACCGTCTGTGGTGAGTAAATCATGCCCAAGGAACTTAAATAGCCAGAGCTATATGACATAATGATGGCAATGATCCAATATATCCATTCGTTCGTAATGAAAACAGGCAAAGTTCTAACAATATCTTTCGGCTGGTAATTACAGAAGAGAAACAGGGGTATGAAGATAGCACGCAAGACAACGGGGACAACCAAATATTTTGGTTTGGGCCATTGAATCCAGGAGGTTGTCAAGCTGCCCAGCATGGCGAATACATTAAATGTTAAAAAGCACGTAACTTGGGTAAAGTATTTCTCTTCAATTACAAAATTTTCAGTACGCTTGATATCCGAATGCATCGCGGGGAACACGGACAATGTGACAAAGAACGTGAAAAATACGTTAAACAGCTGTGGTGAGGCTTTCTTAAATATTTGCCAGTAAGGAACATTTAATTGAGTTTTCGAATCTGATTTCTTTTCATTATACTTGTTTACCGTCTCATAATGCCGGAAGAATTTGTTCAGAGGTAGCGCAAAGTACGTATCGAAACAGAAGAGTAAAACCAAAATAGCCGTCACAAAATAATAGATGGCCGCTGTCCTCATCGAGGTGAAGAACGTGGCACAGAGAATGGACATAATGGTAGCGAAGCAACCGCTAACATTTGAGCCCAAAACAACCGCACCTGTGTATTTTGGTGGGAGGGACGCGACGAGTCCATAAATTGAGCTCTGGTATACGCCATTACACTAAAGTGATGGTAAGAAATCATAGATTAGATTAAGGATTTATTCGTAAATTAATATAATCTATTACTCTACTCACCATATTTATAAGCACTATCGTAGTCATTGTCAACCAGAAGAATATGCCCGGCCACTTTGTGTACATAATGATAAATAAATAAATCGAATAAATGTATATTTACGTATTTAATGATAAGCTTACCTCGGATGAATCCAGCATGGCGAGCACAACTGTTATTATCAGAATCACAATCTCCATTAAAATGCTATACACAATGCGACTGGTCAGATCACCGCCGAAATTTACGAATATATTTAGCCAATTGAAGAGAACGTTGGGTATTTGGGAAGCAAAGCCCATATTCTGCATAAAGTTGCCCCGATAGTTGACTTCCGATTTAACCGTGTAGTTTTCACCCAACTTGAAGTCCTCAAAATACGATTTCGCTGTGATAAACATATTCCAGGGCATCAGAGTGCCCAAACCATGCAGCATAAAAATTAGGAACACCAGTTTATATTTGTCAACAGGCGGCTGCAGTGAAGTCACAATTTTCGACATCATCGAACCTGAGCCTTTGCGATCGGGGTCCTCTTTTATTTTCGATTCCCATGACGGCTGCAATGTCACCGACTGTTTGTTTCCAATGAAAGGACGCTCCTCATTTTTTCTGTATACCATTTTTATTTTTTTTTCCGGTTGACTGATTTGAAAAGCAACGGCGTTGCTGAAGCTATGCGGGCGCGGCTTCAATTAACAGTCAATTAGCAACAAGTTCCACCAGTTCCGCTAGTTATTGGATTGGAAGAAACCCGTGTTATCCCGAATCGATTTTGTTTGGGCGCAAGGATCCACTTACCGTCGTCGCTAGGCAAGACAAGGCACTACTGATTACACAAATCAATTCTGAACTATAATAGTTATGAAAGTTAATTTTCAACAGATAAAAGTGCGCGTGGTTAGTATATACCCTATACCCTATCAGCTGGTCCGTTTGTTTTTTCTTGCATCGAGAAAATATCGATAGTTAAGAGAGCAATAATTCCTTTGCTTAGTTTATTTCTTGTTCTATTTTTAAAATTATTTTTACAATTGATAAGCTATGCAAGAAATTTTGCTTTAGAGTAAATATAAAATATTTTGAATTTTGTAGCACGTCCAGTGTTTGACAGGGGGCAACCTCGGCTAGCTCAGTATTCCCTGAGGTGGGTAACTCCAACACTGCCCGTGGACGGTACAGATTCCAAAAAAAAACTCGACCTACTCAACACTACATAAAGACCTAAATGCACACACAAAACAAACAAAATAGCTGACGGACCTGGTGTTTATGGCCACGACGTACCTGCCCTTCCTGCAATGGGCCTGCACGGATTTGATTTGCCTATCGCCATTTTTCAGCAATGTGGCCCTTTAAATGTTCCATTTTGGTGGTGGTATACGATAATAGCCTATCGATACGTCTGCAAATGCAACAACACACGAGCATTTGTTGTCGCATTTCCTCCGCTTGCTCTGACGGTTGGCACTCCTCTCGCGAACGAAATCCGAAGAAATTATGTACGCAAATGACTCGCTGCAAATCATCAAATGAGTTGCAGTCCATCCTCGTTAGGTCCGGTTCCAGAATTGTTGCCGGAGTCAGCACATCGAGATCGCCAAGATTTTCTTCAATTGAAACTAAAGGGCGAGAATTAATAATGGCAAACGAGAGTTCCCAACTCCTCAAATCTGAGCAGCGACTGGCCAACACAGCGATAAAAATGATGCTTGGCGGTTTTCACTGCTGCTTCCCACAATCCGCCAAAGTGTGGAGAGCAAGGGGGACTGAAACGCCAATCAATGTTGTCAGCCAGGCAGAATTGATGAACAGCAGTAGCATGAGCATCGCTCAACATCAGATTTTTCGACTCCTTCAAATTGTTTTTGGCTCCCACAAACTTTGTGGCGTTGTCAGACCAAATCTCCTCAGAGAGCCAAGACACAATGCTGTGATAACTAACAAGTGCTCGCCACTCATCAAAAACGAGCACCGACTGGTCAACACAGCGGTAATGGTGATGCCTTGAGGTGTTCTTGCTTGGTGGCTTCCACCAACTCGGCATCATCCACTTCCATTGGCTCTTCGGCAGCTCCTTCTGCGCCTGCTGTTGGATTCGCTGACGGTGAATCTTCATCTGTAACATCCTTGTCGTCCATCTTCTGCTCATTGTTTAATGTCTCATGCTTATCATCGTCCATGGAATCGAGTGCTTGATAGCGACAGATGTCATTCTGTGCCGATTCCTGGGCCTAAATGAAGATGCGATCCGTCTTGGGCAGCTTCCATTAGCGTCGCCAGCACCGATCCTGTCCAAAGCAGGCGGCCCTTAACTGATTGGTGCTGTTCTCCAGCGCCTCCTCGCTCATTAGCAGAACATTGCAGAGGTGGGCCAACATCTATGAAATCGCCGACTAGCTTTCCAATGACCTGGTCACCATTGGCCGAATTTTTTGCAACCTGGACACTCGCCTCGGGGTCTTCACCCGACGCGACATGCTCTTCAGCTCAATAGCCTTGGCCTCCGTCACGTCATCCTCAGTGATTTCTCGTTCATTATAGTCAAGCCATTCCAGTTTCTCATGCTTAAGGATAAACGATTTTTCAATTTTATTCACTAAGTCTAATCTAAAATGATCTGATTCCGAACATGATGTTGGATTTGCTATTCAAACAAGATAACGATATTGGGGAATCACACTTTTATTAGTCTAATGACGCAACGCATTCGGCAGTCAAAAACGGAGTGGGTACAGAACTATTGTAAAATTAATATTTAAGTACACGCGAACGAACGGACAATGCAAAACTTAAGATAAGCTAAACGATAGTTGCCAGTTTGTTACATGCAACCATTTGAGTCAGATTTGCAACAGGCCCTCTCAAAGTAACAATTCTGTTAACCCTAAATACTAGTCACGCCCAATGAAGAGATTCAACCATGATGCTTGACACTGCTTAGGCCCTTCGTTAGTACATCTGCTGGCATTTGCTCCGTCTGCATGTAGCCAACCTGGATGTCGCCACTCTGGTGCTTCTGCTGGATGAAAACCAAAACCTTTAACCAATTTTTGAGCGCTTTGGTTGTCGTTTAGGAGCAGAGCCGAATCATATCTTCTGCCAATCCTGTTGAGTATGGCCTTGAAGTATAAGGCCTCCTTTGTTGCTTCGCTCATTGCCAAGTATTCGGACTCTGTGCCTCCCAACTTATAGCAGCACCTGCTAATAGAAACGCCTGTCCAGAATATGACCGTCTATCGGTCAAATTTGCGCCCCACTCAGCATCGACGACTCCGTACAGATCTTGGCCTGTTCGCTTCAATAGCACGCTGAGTTGTTTGGTACCGCTTAGGTACCGAACGATGCGCTTCGCCGTCTTCCAGTGTTCAGCGTTATAACATGAGTTGAACTGGCTCATGAAATTTACGGCGTACGCAATATCTGGACGAGTTGTGTCTGAAAGAAACATACGAGCCAATTAAGTTCTGATAGGGGTACTTCCTCATTTCGGCTTCATCGGCTGCGTCTTTTCGCTTCAAAGTACATTTCGCTTCTATGGGTGTTAATGACGGCTTGAATTCAGTCATCCAAAATTTTTTCAATATAGCGTCGATGTACTTTTCCTGTGCAAGGAATATGCGATGCTCTTTCAGATCCAGCTTGAATTCTATGCCCAGACAGGTTGTCACTGGGCCTAGATTTTTCATCTCAAATGTGTCCCCGAGGATTTCTTTGGTCTGATGCAACCAATCCGGATGATTTGATGCCAACAGCAAGTCATCTACGTAAATGGATACTGGGAGAATCTTCTTCCCCTGCAGTTTGACGAAAAAACATGGATCCTGCTTCGTCGGCTTTAATCCAACTTCTTCGTCTGATCACCTGTGCTGGTGGTTGATATATTTTCCGTGGCCTACCACGCTGGCCTGTCCTCTCGATCTTGGGTCGCTCAACTGAACTGTTATCGTCGCTGGTAGACCCATCACAAGGTTTACTCGTGATATTGATGTCGAAACATCCGTTTGGGTTTTGATCACGTTCGTAGAACTCAGCGTACTCACTTTTTAAACCTGGAACATTCAATAACTTGACATCTTTGCTTACTATTACGCTTCTCAGGTAAATATAATCGATATGCCTTCGATGTATTTGAGTAGCTGACCAGTAAGCATTCTTCCGATCTTGATTCAAATTTACCCTTATTTGAACCCTTTATTAATGCATATGCCTTCGTACCAAATATACGTCAATGCGACACTGTAGGAATTTTCTTCGTCCAGTAAGTATGGGGAATATCGCCGGATAGACCCCGCGTTACACATCTGTTTCTGATGGAACATGCTGCATTTACTGCTTCTGCCCAAAAGGATGGCGGCACACCGGATTGCTTCATCATACAGCGTGCCATCTCAGCTAAGCCATTCTGCAGTGGCGTGTGTGGTGTTGTAAGGCGTCTCTGGATTTCGTTCACCTTCATATACTTGTCGAACTCTTTGTTGCAATCCTCAGTCCCATTATCTTACTGAAGTATTTTTATCTTCTTACCCGTGAAGTTTTCTTTAAAAGCTTCAAATAACTCTGATTTCTGTTTAAGAAAGTCAACTTTACAATAGCGCGAATAGTCATCCATAAAAGTAGCGAAGTATTTACATCCTCCCAGGGATTGCGTTCTCATTGGGCCGCATACATCGCTGTGAACTATTTCCAATAGTTCTGTCGTACGTTCTTCGTTTCCACTTTTATAAATGCTTGCAGTTTGCTTTTCGCTTATGGAGATTTTGCATTTCGACAATTTTCCATTCTCGCGCATTTTCATGCCGTAGGCATTACCCCTTTTAGCCATATATTTCAAATCGCTTTCATTCAGATGTCCCATTCTATAATGCCATAGATCAAGGTCGTTTTGACCACCATACATTACACTATTCACCGTATCTTTGCGCACATACCCCAACTTCGTTATTTTTCATAACAAGTGCTTCATTTTTCCGAAAATGAACTTCAAAACCATTGTCTGTAATTTTGGAAACCGACATCAAATTTTGGCGCAAATCCAATACGTAGAAAACATCTTTCAACGTTAAGTCAACTCGTTGCTGTTGTTTCTTAACTGCGATTTTAGCATTGCCAATGCCACTAATCCGTGTGGTGTTATTGTTGGCCAAATGTAAAGTCTTTTCGACTTTTGCAGTATCGGTGAACATGCTCTTATTTGAACTCATGTGTGCCGTGCAACCACTATCGAGGCACCACAAGCCATTTTTCTCATCGGCAGAAGAGGCCATCTCTAACGCGTTTAGCGAAAGTTCACCGTTTTCTGCAGTACTCGCACTGTTCGCGATACAAATACAAATGGCGTTTCATATTCTTCTTTGGGTTGCTTCGACAATTTCGCGCGAAATGTCCAACCTTGCCGCAGCTGAAACATTTTTTGCCTTCATGCTGCACTTTATCGCTTTTTCTTTCTTTGCCTTTTCTTTCTACATCTTTCTTTTGTTCTTCGCGATTCTCTTTATTTTCATGCGCTTCTGACTCTTCAAGAATTTTGACGCGAAGCACATCGGGATGGGGCAAGTCATCTCGTGCTTCCAAGAGTCAGGCAAACTATATAGCAATAAGATTACAAACAAATCATTTCCAATCACGACACCTATTTTTTTCAATTTTTTCACTGCGTCGAAAAATTTATTTACATGCTGGCGCACACTAACGTCCTCGTTCATTCGCGACAATGCCACTCGTTTCAGCAGGCTTGCTTTTCGCACTGGCCTCTTTGACTGAAATGTCTCCTGCAATTTCAACCAGAATTCTTTTGCCGAATTACAATCTTCAATTATAGCCAATTCCGATGGGCTAATCGATAATAATATGTCCGCGCGCGCATTCTCATCGTATGTTTTCCATACTGCTCGATCTGCCACATTTTCTGGGCAAATTTTCGCTCCATCAACATATTGCCATAGTTCGTTTTTCACTAATATAGCACGCATCTGCAGTTTCCACGTGTCATAGTTCTCCGCACACAGTTGCTCAATCTTAACAAATGCGCCAACCATTTTTCACAGCTAAACTACTTATTGTCAACGTTTTCTTATTTATTTATCACTGAGCCCATAACCTGTTGGATTTGCTAGATTTTCCGCAAGGTGGCGTGTTGTGGGTTAGGGAGAATTAGCACATGTGAAAAAAGCGCAAAGTGATGCAGGTCATGTTCCGTGGCGCGTAGATTTTTTGTGGCGTGCAAACAAGGGTTGGAGTGTCTTTAGGAGTGCACTAACCCTCCGTTATACTTTAGGCTTTATGGGGTCAAATTCGGCGTAAGTGTGTCTGTTTAAATAATTGTTGCGCTGTTTTAATTTTGTGGTTTATGTTCAGGTGGCCGACAGCAGGTCACGCCGCAAGTTTATAATTTATGTTATATATAATTCGCTTGGCGACCAAAACTCGTCTGAAGCTGACGCAACGACGATTTTGCCGGCAGCAAAATTGCTGGATACGGCCTCGTCACTACTGCGAGGGAATCACTGGGCAAATCCACCATCTTTTGATAGCCGATGAGTGCGTTCCAGTATGGAATAAGTGCCATCACATGCTCCTAGGATAAGCCCTCAGCAACCGAAGTCGCATAGTTCGAGCGCATAAAATTTAATCGAACCAAAAATTTAAATTCAAACTCATGAGCAGAAGAAAATTATTGTCACGCTCAAATGTTAAATTGCGTACTTTATATTGAAACACAAATTGTAAAAGGGAAAATGGGAATGAACAAACACATGTAAAAATTAAATACATGCCCTGTCGAATGCAAGTCGACTGCGCGCATGTGATCAGAGCCAAACAAATCATACATTGTGCCGAACCCAAATTCAGCGCCCAGGGCGCAGTGCTCCAGCGCATCCATTCCTCATTCAGAATATTTAAGTAAATGTTGTATGTAGGCGATTATCTATGTATGTTCCTATATTTATTTATTCACATATTTATCATTAATTTAAATATCTAAGTACCATTGTTCTACAACAAAATCCTTCGTCCGGATTTTTGCCAATTTGGGGAAACAATTTTTGCATCGAAAAACACGTGGACGTGTTACAAACTATGTAAAATTAATATTTGAGTAGATGCGAACGAACGGACAATGCAAAACTTTAGATAAGCTAAACGAGAGTTGTCAGATTGTTACATTGCAAACATTTGAGTCACATTTGCAACACATGAAATATCAAAACTTTTTAGCAAATTATAAATATCGTCAACCTTCCACTTATAAAACGATATTTGCGCAGGCACACTATCTGCGGACGCGACTGTGCTTGTATTCATATTTAAGCTTAACGCGCGCACAAAATTGCAGCCAAATACACAAAACTACCGAAAACAACAACTGCACCAAGAAAGAAACGGTCTCTATGTACTCAATCGTAGCGGATTTCTATTGCACTTGTTGTTGTGTCTGTTTTATGCACCTTTGGTTGTTCAAATTAGAGTTTTTTTTGCAAATTAGTTCACTAATGTTTTGTTTTGTGTTATTGTTTATTAAACGCTCTTTATGATGTAATTACAACGATACGCGAGTAACAAAGAATCGCGTCGGGATCACCAAATTCAAGCATGTTAACAACTCATAACAATTCAATTTCTTTGCTGCATAATAGAAAACAAATGTTTGCGCTATCAGTCTGCATATATTAATAAAAATATGAAAAAACTCATCGCCGTATGAAATTATTCATGTTCGGTCGCGAACTTCACTGCCTTCCTGAAAGCGTGAGTGACATACTCATATCATATATAATATATCATAACTACAGACCAGGCTTCTATACCCTATGCCTGGTGCAATTGTACTGCTCAATTTTGAACGGACAAGCCACCACAGCAATTTACTTTCCTATTAAACCTAGCACTATCATTTAAAACGAGACTTCAGGGTACTCCTACATGCACACAAAACAAACGAAACAGCTGACGGGCCTGGTGTTTACGGCCATTACGTACCCACCTATCCTGCATTTCCTACTCGTGGGCCTGCACGGATTTGAGTTGCCCATCGCCCTTTGTCAGCAATGTGGCCCGTTAAATGTTCATTTTTGGTGGTGGTATACGATAATTGCCTATCGATACGTCTGCTAATGCAACCATTTTTGTTGATAAATAACTTTTGATCGATTAAAGTTGAGTGTGGAACAATGCAGTAATCGATAACGATAATGATTTTGCGGCACTTTATCGTTGTAAGCAACGTGTTTACCTGTTGTATTGCATTTGTTTATGTTTATTTGCCGCAATGGGTAGCATACCGAACATACAGTTGGGTGACTATATTGTCATTCAGCGCCAAAAGTATACCAAATTGCAAAAATTCGGCAGCTTAGATGCCACTGCGACGTTGGGCAAAGAGCATCTGGAACTAAAGTCGCTGCTAGATCAGCCCTATGGCTCCACCTTCAAGATGTGCGTCAAGGAGTCGAAGGCGGGCAAACGGGGCGCCCAGCGGCAACACACCCTCGAACTGTGTAGCGAAAACGAGCTGCGCAGCATACGCGACATCCTCAACATTTCCAGCAGTGGAGCCGATAATCGCGACATCAGCGACAACGGCGAGGCTCAGGCACTCAAATCAGAGGTGAGCAAAGAAGTCCTATGTTTTTAGCAACCAATGACAATGAATCACTCTCCTTTGCAGGACATTGAGCAGATGCGCGAGGCGTGCAACGAGTCCAGCAAAATTATTGAGAAGCTGGTGGAGAACTCAAAAACGTTTCACACACGCACCGAATACTCACAGGACAAATATCTGCTGAAGAAGGAGAAAAAGTACTTTGAGTTTGTGCAAATCCGACAGCCAAGCATACGTCTGATGGCTGACATATTCCATCGACAGGACGCGGAGAAGGTAATGGGCATTCGTGTGGACACATTATCTCAAATCATTTCCTACTCGAGCGTCTCTGGCTTTGGCAGCTATTTACTGTACGAGAGCGGCACGAATGGGCTTCTGCCGGCTGCCATGCTGAACTCCATTGGTGCCGACACGCAGGCAACGCTCGTGCACATGCATCCCGGCAATGTGCCACAAAAACAAGCGCTTCTTGCACTCAAGTTACCCCTGGAACAGCAGCAGCGTTGCATCTCGGTTAATCTGTACTCAGTGCTGCGTGAATTCTACCAGGGCGACAAGGCGGAGACGCGGTCAGATGCGACAACAGCTCAAACAGAAGCAGAGACGGCGGCGGTGACTGCCTCAGAAGAGAACGATGCGAGCACGGAGGAGCAGAGCGACATCATTGAGCCCAATACAAAGAAACTTAAACTGGATGAGTCACTCAACTGTAAGCAATCTTTGATACCGAATTTATATTTCTCTTTGGATTGTATTATAATTTTGTGACAATATTTGTTTATTGTTATTAAAGAAGATATCAGCATTAATAATCGCACCGACATAGCCAAGAGTGTCTGCTTTTGGTCTTTCAGTTCTAAAGTCAATTTGATTCAACTATTACTAAATGCCTCCTTTTGCCTAATATATTATGAGTGTGACGATATTTCCAATAATCAGGCAACAATTTAGCATTATCGAAAACTATTTCATAAAAACAATCGTCGAAAACTGATTTGATATAAGAAACTCGTTTTGTTAACTAATTTGTCGTAAAAACTCGGACTCTTGAATTTAGTATCAGATATTTAACGTACAACTTCTATTAAAGTCTATTAGAGTATTTAATATTAATTGTTACTTAAAATATTGTTTTTTTTTTTTAGCTAACAACAAATCGGCTCCTTTACGCTGGCAGCTGGAGAACAAACGGGCCGCTGCGCTAATGAATGCTAAATTCGATAGTTTGGTAATGGCCGCCAAGGAGCATCCTTCGAATATATTGCAGGCATTGCTGCCGCTGGTAAAACCGTCGCGACCCGTGGTGATCTTTAGCACCTGCAAGGAGCTGTTGCACGAGACGTATATGGAGCTGAAGACGACCGGAAAGGTGACCAATCTGCACGTGACCTCCAACTGGTTGCGCACGTATCAGATACTGCCAAATCGCACCCATCCCGAGGTCAACATGAGTGGGAACAGTGGCTACCTCTTAACCGGCTACACATTAAAATAATTCGAGTGACTTTCGATCTTTTTGTGCACCTGACTAAATATTACTAATTGCTTAGATAGTAAACTAAACCATGCCTGAATGATCGATAAATTATAATGCACGCAATGCGATTTCTTTGATAATATCATGCAATGTTTTATAGCTTGTTTGGAGTGTTGAGATCAGTTCAAATTGTGTGTTGTTTGTGTTAAGATTTGTCAGTTCAGCGCTCCGCTTCGACTCTTAAACCGCTGGCACATTCTTGAGGACAAAGTAATGACCGCATTCGCAACGTTTGGGTTCACCCTTCTCCAGCCACATCCACTTGGGCACTCGATCTCCCAGGCACAAACAGCCCACCAGACGGCCATCAAATGCCGATGGAATGACTGTCGGATCCTTCTCTAAGCCCGCGCCCCGCTTCAAGGGTCGCTTCATGGCCCAAGGATCCGTGCAGCCGCCCTGGCGCAGCATCAACTCACGCTTGAAGATGCCCGTGGCCAGCTCCATGTCATCCGTTAATTCTAAGGCAGCCGACATCTGCATATATGTTCATTTCTGAATAGTTCGCCTTTCAAACTTACCACTGCTCACTGAAGTTGTGGATTTGGTGCGCTCCCCGACACCGCCCTTGCGTTCGAAGACGCCCAAAATGCGCTTGAGACTAAATTGGCGCAGCATTTCACTGAATTTCCCCTCCCCGCTTTGCGTCAGCTGTGAGACGAGACGCTTGGTTGCTATGGGAGACTTGAGCAGTCGCGATATAAACGACGACATCTGAGTGTAAATTAATTTTTTGCCTCTTTTAAGCTTCACTTGTAGCAAATAAAATGGAATGAAAAGCTATCAATCAAGGTTCAAATATTGATGCCTACTATGACTATAGTAATAAATCGATCTATCTTTGTGAAGCAGATGCAATTAAATTTGACAATATTTGCAATCCTTTGTTTTTTTTTTGTTTTAATTTAATTTATTCTTAAAACGTTTTACACACGCCTCTCGTTCGCATCAACAAATCTCGGCTAACAGCTCAAAACATTTTGCATTTTTGTATTTGGTATTTGTTTTTATAAACTTGGTTAAACTTTTGGGTTGATGTTTGTTTATTTGGACAGCTATTTTTGTTGACTTTTAGCTTAATAGTTGTTGTGTGTTTGCTTCTTGTTATTAATTATTTTATTTAGTTAATTAATAATAACTTTAAACAGCTGCCTTCTCGACCAGCTTGAACCAGTGTCCACACTCACAACGCTTCTGGTTGCCCTTCTGCAGCCACATCCATTGCACGTAGGTCTGATCCTCTTCGCCTGCATAAATGGAGCATAAGATTAATTTCTTGTTTGCCAATTTTGATACTAATGACGATCACTTACAGATGCAACCGACAATGCGTGCATCGAAGGCCGATGGAATCAGATTGGGGTTCTCCTTGGTGCCGGCACCGCGCTTGAACACCTTCATGTCGAAGGGATTGTCGTCGCCGGCAGCTTTGAGTAGCAGCTCGCGCTTCTCAATGCCCGTGGCATGCTCCAACGGATCGTTCATCACTGCAATCAGTCAATCGATAACGATAAATACGTATTTATAAAAGGTTCATACACAGTTAATCTATTTATGCTAGTGTGGTACAACTGGTTTCTTGCATCCCTTCGCTGCTTCACCCCTGCGCATTCCATTTTCTGAATCAGCTGTGTGCACACACTGGTTATATAAATTATTGAATGCTCAACAATTGCCCCTTTTCACTCACTGATTAGCAGCGCATTAGCAGACTTCTGCTAACTCCTCGGGTTGCGAGTTATTTTTCAGTTGCATGCAGCGTTCGTCTTTGCCTTGAAAACACACATAAAAACATAATTTTTTTCACTTATTACATAACCTCCCCTTTACACTTGTACATCTTTCAAATTGGCACAATTTCCGCTGTGATTTTGGCGCACACCCACGGCAACCAGACAAGCTGGACTGGGCTAGGCTGGTGAGGCTATAGCACGTGTTATGTAATCCGTATCATGGAGGCGCCTCGACTGGCGGCAGGCTCCGTTGCCACACTGAGGCGGTGGACGTGACGATTGCGCCGTTTAGTTTTCTCGCTTCTTTGGTACTTACTTTTGCAGGTACGCACGGAGTGGTATGTTACATTTTGGCGTGCGGCGACACGAAGCGCCATGCGTCCACAGATCGATGCCATTGTTCGTTTGCAAAAAAGTTTGTTGGTCTTGGGAGTGATGAACAGCCGAATTCTTTCGTAATTTTTCACAGCGAGACTCAGGGCAGGTGTTAGTTCATGTGTTGTGTATTCCAGTTCACAACTGGTTCGACTGCATAGCTACTTTTCCTGTGATATCGAACTAGTTTTACTAGTTCAGTTAGGTCACTCCTGAACCAGGCGCACTTTTGCACTCACATGAAGTTGACTGCACTACATTATCAGCTGTTACGCTGTTAGCGCCAAAATTGTACTTTTAAAACGATTTGTATATGAAATATATTTAATTTATTAAATGTGTGTTTTAACAGGAGTTAAACTATAAATAAGAAGCAATTGTTTAAAGATATTTAAAAAGTAGTACACGTGAACTTGGCCTAAAATGTTTTGGGCAACTGTTGCCCCGGCAACGAGAAAAGTGTAAGCACAAATTGAGAGCAAAACAATTGAATAATAAAATGACGAATAAGCCAACAATTTGCTTTGATATATCCAAAAATGAGCGCTTTCAAATTACGGATAACTACAAAATGCTCCATCGCAAGCTAAAAGCGCACTGGAATGTGGAGCAGTGAGTATAATTGGAATATAATCGAACATCTCTCTTTCGATACTAAAATATCTTTGACATTTGCAGAAGCGATGTAGAACTAAATAAGGAGTTTTTGTCACGTAGCAAAATCTTTGTACTAGCCGGACCCCAGGATCGATTCACCGAGGATGAATTTGAGGTTCTCAAGGAGTATGTGGAACAGTCGAGCGGCAGTTTGTTGGTGCTGCTGGGCGAGGGTGGCGAACAGGAGTTCAACACGAATGTCAACTTCTTTCTGGAACAGTATGGCATCTATATAAACAACGATAATGTGGTGCGTCCGCATTACTACAAGAATTTCCATCCCAAGGAGTGTATTGTGGGTGGAGGCGTTGTCTGCGAGTCCATGTGGCGCCACCTCCTCAAACGGGACATTGAAAAAGTGGAGTACGACTTCAGTGATGAGAAGTACAAAATACACTTTCAGTATCCATATGGAGCTACGCTAAATGTATCAGAGCCAGCCAATGTGCTGCTGACAACGGGACCCGTTGTCTACCCCTTCAATCGACCCCTGGCTGGTTACTATAGCAATGCCAAGGGTGGAAAGATTCTAGCGCTCGGCTCAGGCTATATGTGGCATGATAAGTACTTGCAGGACAAGACCAATGATGCCCTGCTGGAGTATATGCTGCAACTGCTGGGCACTGGCGACATTACCTATACACATCTCGACTTTAACGATGTGGAGGTGTGTACCATTTATGTTATATTTTGATCTACATTTGATATTTGATATTATTTATCCATTGAAAATTGTCTAGAAGAAAGCAAAAGAATATTTATATAGAGTATAAAAGATGGTCAGCTTTATCGACTAATTTTAATTTTTCTTAACCGGTTTTTTTCTTACAGCTCAACGATAATAAGCACTTCACGGACTTGGCCTTTCTGGCGGATATGCCGAAGGCCTGTTTGATTGACTCCATTGGAACTGAGATGCCCGCAGACTTTAAGCAAATGTTTGACATGACCTTGTGCTCGCTGAGCAATCGTTTGCTCAAGGATGTCATCGATGCCTACGAACAGTTGCATGTAAACTACGAGCCATTGCGTATTATCAAGCCACAATTTGAGATACCGCTGCCGCCGTTGCAATTGGCCACGTTTCCGCCCATATTTAGTGAGCCACCAGCGCCGCCGCTGGAGCTCTTCGACCTGGACGAGACTTTCAGTCCGGCCCGGTCGCAGCTGGCCCACATTACCGGGCAGTGCCTGCAAGCGCTGCAGTCCAAGGAGCCATCGCGTCGCTCCCTCAATCAGCGCGAGCTGGAGAACTATGTGAAGGAGTGCGGACGCATAACGGCCATTGTCCGGGAGCAGCAAGAAATGCCTGCCCGCGAAATACTCAACATTGTGGCGCGTCAGATAAGCAGCTATGCACCCTATGCGGAGGACTAGACATCAACTCAGTATCCAATTACCAAGCAACTCATCAGCCAGCCAGCCAGTCAGTCAGTTAGCCAGCGTTGCGCATTCCATCTAAGTTTTTTGCTCTTTTTCTTTCTTTGTATACCCTTTGCATAATTGTGTGGTGAAATGCGTCTTGATGAAGACATACACTATACCATTATACGTGTGGAATATATATTCTTGAACAGCGTGGAGAGACTGTTATAAAGAAAAGCTTGATTTTAGCAAAGTTAATATTAGAAGCTTTTTAATGAGTCTTACATTGCTTCGATCTACTCAAAGAGGCTATCTAAAAACATGTTTGCAAGGGTATTTCATTTTCGACATATTGATTAAACATTTTTTCTCCGGTTTCTGTTTTAGTTTTTAATTATTTTTTTGTTTCTTTTTTTTGACAAAATCAGCGAATTTTGAATTTTGTTTGACTGTTTTTGAGCAAATTGTAAACCAAGTCCGTTTTATGTAAACATGTTGGCGACTCGTATTCAAACATGGCCGGCGTTCTCCCTACACCCTACACCCCACACCCCACACCTTACTATCGACTTCGACTCTCGACATGGTTAAAAATTTACTTTAATTACGCAGAAGGTGCATAACATTTGGATCGTAACACAAAACCTGTGGGAAGTAAAGCTATATGCTTACCAAAATTATACAAAAAAATTGTTTACTGCAAATGCGTTTCACACAATTAATTATTTTTATTAATATGTGACCGAAATGGGGATACCATCCCTAGGGGCCTGCTAGCTTGCTTTAGTATTTAGGTGTCGACAATTTGTTTCAGTTTTAGGGGCGCATGCCGGCTGCTAATTGAAATCGTGGGGTCGACGGGGGCTGAGAAGGGGCGGGGAGGGATGCGTGTGGTGTGTGTGAAACCGCTAGTTAATGCTTGTCACAACAAATGCTGTCATCAATCGCCACTCGATGCTCTCTCGGGGGAACTGCAGCACTAAAATACAAAGCAACGGTTTGCCCGAGAGAGTCCTGTTCCCGCAAATAATAATAATAAATGAAAAAACGATCCAACAACTGACGACAGTAAATTTATACTTTTTATCGCAGCGACGCATTAAAGGAACTGCTAACCTGAATTCTCTGGAGCCTACAAGCAGCTGCAGCCAGGATAACTTGATATCCTTGCAAGAAAGTAATCGATATATTCCCCAAAACAAGGACTGTAATCATATCTATTGCGGTACCTCTAAAGTTTTTGCTAAAAACTATTTTTAGCGGTGTAAATTGGAATTTAGAAATTGTTGAAATATATTTTTTAATTTATTTTATATTTATTATTGCTGCAATTTATTATTTTTGAATATTATACGCCAGTGAGCAATAAAGTTATAATTATTATGATATATATATATATATTTCCACAAATTAAATTAGATTCAAAAATCTAATGGTTATTCTTTAATATATCCTTTTTAATACATATATTTATATAATTATTTTAAAAATAATTGAAATATATATATGAATAATTGTAGCAATTAACAATTGTTAAATATTATATGTGTCTATTATTAATATATCTATAATTAAAATGAGAATAATAATAATAAAATTCAAATTTCTGTCTCCAAAACTAGAATATTCAATTCTGTGTGACTTATGTATAAAATATAATATGAATATAAAAATATTTATTATATCCCTATTTTATTAAAGCAGATTAAAATAAATTCTTTAAAATTGTAAGAAGCACATTGAATATATTCTGTAGAAGGCAATGACTTTGCTAGCCACAGTCTGTTGGCCACTGCCACTGCCACTGCCAACTGCTGCAACTCGTCGGGTGGTCAATCAATCAATATTGAAAATTCTCACAAGCGTTGCTTGCTTCTCTCTCTCCCTCTCTCTCTCGCTCTCTATCTCTCTCTCTATATCGCTCTCACTCTCACGCGCTTAGGGCGCCATTTTGTTTGCAGAGTTGACCGCTAAGTGTTGATGAAGCGAGGAGAAGAGAGGGGACAAGATCAGGGGCACTATGGATACGATGTGAGGGCAATAATCTGCAAGTAAAAAAGTAAAAAGAGGTTATGTTGAAATACGATCTGAGCCAAGTAGGAAGTTACCTTGAGTGCATTTCTGTATTGACAGTGACAATGCTGTCCAAGTCAACGTTCGTCGCTGTCGTTGTTAGTTGTCGTTGTCGTTCATTCATGGTTTCAGTCAACAGTCAGCAGTGGGCAGCAAACAGGTTCACAGGCTCAACAGAAGCCACACAAGTTTTTCCCACTCCTCCGCCCCCTCCCCCAACTAGTGCTCCTCCTGCTCCTTCTACAACTACACTTCTACTTTCTGCTGCTGCTGCTTCTTGCGTCTGCGAAATAGGGAAAGCAAAGAACAAAGTCGAAGAGCAAATTCATTAGTTCAAATCAGTGACAGAGAGAGAGAGAGAGAGAGAGAGAGAGAGAGAGAGGGACACACACTGAGAGAGAGAGAGCGAGAATTTCCCACTCTGAAATAAACTCACAACAGCTGTGTTTGTTGCCTTTGCACTTCCGCTCCCTGCTTCGTCCTGAGTCCTGTCTACTCTCGCCGTGCAAATATCATCAAAGTCAAGAGGTTTGTTTGACTTTTAGTGGCATCCTCTATAGCAGCTGTGATTGTTTTCGTTCCCATTCATCATATTCATATTCCCCGCCACTGCCGCCGCCCCCGCCCCCGCTCTCGCCCTGTCTCTATCCCGTTAGCTTGTAAATTATACAGTTACCTCGCACATTTGTCACCTGTGCTGGAAATTCCGGGAAAACCCCGCATGGAAAGCGTGCCTTGGCGGTGGTCGTTATGGTTGTTTCGGGCTCCGCTTGATGCGGGTCTGTGGCAACATCGTTTTAATTAAATTACACCACCAAAACGTGCGACATTACAATAATTTTCATTGTCAAAAATTGGGCATCATAAAAAACAACACGTCTGCATCTCATACCCAACAGCAACAACAGCAGCACCAGCAACATCAATCCAAATCGTGGGAGCGAAAGAGCGAGTCGAAGAAAGATAGAGGAAGACTCCCTCACACACACACACACACGCACACATGGAAAGAATATAACAATCAATTAACAGGTAAACGGCATAGAGAGAGAAGCATCCAGCTTAAATATTTTATTTAACCCTTATATGTTTTATGTTTTTAATTCGATTGAGTTTTAAACACCTTTGTAAAAATAGTAAGCAAGAATGATAAAGGAGAACTTTAGTCGCGAATGATTGACCAAAATATTCAGCATTTACTTAAATGAAATGAAATGCTTGTTTTCGATTGATTATCCTAAGATGTAAAGTTTCATTAGTACCAATTTTGTATGATTAAGATTTTTCTTCATATGTATATGATATACCATAAGATATAACTAACTTTAAGTCTCGCAGAATCCATAAAATATTTGATATTAACTATTTGAATTGCGTTTCATTAAAATTAATAAAATTAATTAAATTCTTTACAAAATGTAGGTTTTCATTTCAATATTCCACTATATAAAACACAAAAACTTAACTTTTTATTTCAATATTGCACTATTAAAAGTACTCTTTTAATAAAAACGCTCGATTCAAGCACAGACCCACGCACACACAAGGGTTAACATTAAACCATTGACCCAAGTTATGCTTGGCACGCTTCGGTTTCAACTCGCTTTCTGTTGTTGTTCTTTCAGTTGGCTTGTGAATGGCTGTGGGAACTTTGGGAACCCATTATTAAAATAGAAAGCTTGTTTTTATGCCTTTGTCATTGTTATTAATTTGTCATAAGGCCGCGTTTTACAACAGGCTCTAATGATGCATGTAAATGCAAAACAAATGGCAACTCAACCCAAGCCCAACCTCAGAGCAGGCAGCAGCTAAGACACCAGTTTAAGTTGGAGTCAAGCGCCTTGGGTGAAAAATTGAAACGGCGTGTACAATTTAAAATGAAATAAAATCAGACTGTGGCAGCTTTCGAAATTTTATGAGCATGTTGCGCTTATTAGCTGCACTACGAGAAATGGCGACAGGCCACAACAGCAACAAATAAACAAACAACAACAAGCACAACATGCATTTCCACGGCTAATTTTTCACGCACGTTCCACATGCCCGATCCCCCCTCCCCCTCCTCCTCCTCCTCCATCCACCATCACTCCACTGAATGCCAACAACGACAGCGAGCGACAGCTCCTGGCCAGGCTTCAGCCTTTTATACCCTTAATTGTCCCAAGTGGGGCACAACAATATTTTCGAATTGTATGCAACTCTTTTCAGAGGTGTCTATAACTGAACATATCAAATGTATGCACATTGTTTAACAGTAGAAAAGTGTTTTTTTTTAGTTATTCCACATAAATTTGTCTGTTAAAATTTAGAATATATTTTTAGAGTTCTTCTTAAATATCAATAATCTTAAGATCATTCGATCTTTTGCACATTCATTATGAATGTTGTTGGAAACAGTTTCTAGCCATACTAAAATGAAGCCAACAAAAATGAACATAAAAAGTTATAAAGGGATACAAATATATACATTCCTTATCATATTGTCTTTGTCGACACACAATTGCAAAATGATATCTTTTGCACTGTTCAATTTGTTGCTAAAAACAACCTTTAAAAGAATTTAATCTTAGATAAGGGTATTTTGAAAGTCGCTACTTCGGATTAGATAGTCGGCACGTTGTTGTTGCCTTTGTTTTTGGCACGGCGACACGCACGAGAAATTCCAAGAGATAAGCATCGTGTACGACAAGGTGTATTATGGACCCGGTCCGATACGCATTCAACGTTGCCGTCGAGTGCCATACTGTTGACTCTGTTAAATTGCCAATATTTATGGTCTTGGCCGTTCAAGTTGACTTGTTAAATGGGTGTTCCAGCCAGCAGTCAGCAGGCACAAGGAGGAGGCCCCCTAAAATGGGTAGCTGCGAAACGTTTAAATACAAAACGTGTTGGGGCCCGATAAGCACGCAAGGAGCGAGCAGCAAGCAGCAAGCAGTGTGCCGCACGCATCATGCAGCATGCAGCAAGCAGCAAGCAGTGAGCAGCACGCAGTGTTATTGCTTGCTTCTCTCTCGTCGTGCCATCAATTTTGACATATGCATGTCAAAGCTTTTACTGCCCAAGACGCCATTTTGAAAGGGCCCCCGCCTCTGTCTCTTTCGCTCGTTGCATGCGCCATCTCTGTCGCACTGTGCAGCAAAGCATTAAAGCAGAAATGTGCAATG